CTGTTGTCTAAGTGAAAATTGCTCATGTCAAGTCAGAAGAGAATGAAAAAGCTGCTTTAAACTGATATGAAAAGTAACTCAAAAATCACTCATTACAACAAGCGTATAAGAAGAGTATCTGAATGTACAACACGTTGAACTTTGAAGTAGATGGGGTACAGCAGCAGAAGCCACACCTATCAACTGAGAATCCATCCTTCTTTAGCAACATTTCATGCTGCTGCTGCTGGTGTAATGGCTTGAGGGATATTTTCTTGGCACACTTTGGAACCCTTAGCTTGAGCTGACAATCATTAGAGGCTACTTGAGTATTGTGGCTGGCCATATCCATCCGTTTATAACCACATTGCTGTTTCCAGCTTTGTGAGATACCGTGTCACAAAGCTCATATTGTCTCAACCTGGTTTCTTGAACATTATGAGTTCACTATAGCATAATGGACCAAAATCTCCAAGGAATAATCCCAGCATGTTGTTGAATCTGTGCCACAAAGAACTGAGGCAGTTCTGAAAACAAAAGGGGTTCAAACCATCACAAGTAAGGTGTACCTCATAACTTGACTGCTGAAAGTGTACATGCATTGGAAACATGATGTTATTTCACTTGACATTGCATAACTTAAAGTCTGCTGTTTCCCTACACAGAAACATGCCTTCATCCTTCAGAGGGACTCATGGAAAAATTGTCTACAAGCTAGAAGCAAAACTGTTAAGGAGCTGGAGGATGAACAGTACAGCAGAGAAGGAGATCAAATTTGTCTCCAAATGTGTTCCAAACCTTCATTCTCTGATGGTGTGTACAGTATTTAAAATGCATTCAGCCATCTTTGATATGTTGTGTATTCTCCCGCTACGTGGTATGCACTCAGTGTCAACCGTCCTTCTTGTAGACGTAGCACTTCTTGGGGGGTTCATATAAGAGAAAAACAATGGTTGTTTCAAATAATGGCCATTATTGGCCAGATAATTCTACTTTCATTTGTTCAAGGTAGGCGATACAGCTCTGAGAACTATCCACGAACACACTGTAATGGAGGTGAAATGTTTCCCAGCAGAAATGTTAACAATCCAAAAGACTCAGCTCTAATTATTAACAGTAATGACCGGTGCATTCCGTTTAAAGTGTTACCTGGTAGATCCAGCTCCATCAGTTAAACCAGTGACAGGTGAAACGAATAGAATTGATAATCTTGTCATAATGCAGTGCTGCTATCCTTGTAATACACACCAACGTATCATAACCATGCTAAAGACCCAGCATATGCCTTCGGCAAGGCAATCCCGATAGCAGTGGTCTCCCCACAGCAGGATAATATGCCCTGCCCCACAAGAAAGAGGTTTATACCCAGGCCCCCAAAACACCAACTGTCTTCTGCTTTCTGCCAGGCCTCTTAGGACTCACAATAGTTAAGGGTTTGCTAAATGTGCTGAAATGAGCCTTATTTCACAAATAACCCACCCCATAATCTGCAGGTCAAAAAAGATCCTCTGAGGTGGTTGTAGCTCTGGAGGTAGAGCAGGTCATTTACTAAGCAGAAGGTTGGTGGTTTAATTCCTGGCTGCTCTAGTCTGCATGCCAAATAACCTTGGGCACGATACTAACCCCAAGCTGCTCCCCATGGCATCCATCGCAACGTGAATGTTAGATCATCTGATGAATTAATATAGTAAAATATAAATTTTAGCACCTTTAAACCATGAAAAATATTGTTTGATTATGGAATTGTGTCAGAATAATTGTTTTGCTTGTTTATTTCACTGTAGTCACCGCAAGTTGGTTCAACAAACAAAGAGATGGGTTTTTTCTCAAAAGGACACGTACACATGGATGTAACTGTGGACAGGATCGGTTACGCAGCAGGTATTAAAATTT